GCAGGGCGTCCTGAAGGTGAATGCACAGGCAGGACAAAATGGAGCAATGAATACAACATCATTGGAATCAATGGCCCAGAATGACGACTTCCAGGAAGTAAAGAGACGCAAGAGGCATATCTCTAATGATTCCTCAGAAACGGCCAAGAAGACCAAATCAATCCCAATATCCACAGCTGCCAAGCAGACTCCAAGAGCAGCGCCAACTCGCAACTTCTTCGCTCCCCTCGAAATAATGACATGGACACGGAGAAAACTGGAGCAGAGAACACGGACCAGGAGGCTCCCATAAAATCAGGTAGGCCGCCACCAATAGTGATGACTTCTACCACAGACCTAATTCAACTCCAAAGCGACCTAAAAGAACACGTCAAAGGAGAATAGGAATTCCGAAACACACGAAATGAAACTCGTATTATAACAAAAGAAATGGACTATTCAGCCATGAAATCCTACCTGGAGGAAAATAATCTCCAGTATTTCACCCTCTCTCCAAATTCTGAAAAGCCTACCAAGGCAGTAATCCGCCACCTTCCCTCAGACACGCCAGCAGAAAATATTTTCAATAGCCTTGAGGGCTTAGGCTTCAACTTCATCAAGTTGAGGCAACTGACGACCAATCGAAGAGCATCATATGGACAGACCTACGTGGGAACCCTTCCGCTCTTCCTTGTTACCTTAAAAAGAAACGTAAAATCTCAAGAGATTCAAACTGAATAGCCTTAAACATATGATTATTAAGGTAGAATCATACAGAGCTCAAACCGGCCTTACACAGTGCTACAATTGCCAAAACTTTGTCTATGTCTAGGCCAACTGCAAGCAACACCCTCAATGTTTGTGGTGCGATGGTGGCCACCTACATAAGGAATGCCCCGAAAAGACGAATACAGTATCTACGCCGAGTTGCTGCAATTGCACTCCAGTAGACGGAGAGAAACCTCATCCAACGTCATACTGAAGTTGCAGCCATGCGAAAGCAGAACTGCAAAGGAGAAGAGCGCAACGAGCTCCCAAGGGATCCTCTAGGGGGACGTTCTTCTCTAAATTCACCTCACCAGAACAATCCTACGCAAATCTACTGCGTCAAGACAATCAACACTAGCATCCAAAGGCAGCGCAGACAGAAGGAGAAAGCGTCCAGCACCCCGTGAAGCAGTATAGGCCATAACACGAAGTTCAGAAAACGGGTCTGTCAGTACAGGCTCCCAGTTCGTCTAACAGTGACACTGTAGCCACTGCAGTGCATCAGCAGGTGCCACAACAGGAATTTCAGAAAACAGGTCTGTCAGTACAGGCTCCCAGTTCGTCTAGCAGTGACACTGTAGCCACTGCAGTGCATCAGCAGGTGCCACAACAGGAAATGGGTACACACAGGTAGTCCAAAGCCCGACCCGAGGGGGTGCATTGCTGGATGTTTACCTAGTCCGGCCGGAAAACTTGTTTTCCTTTGCGGCACTAAATAGGTGATTAGTGACCATTGCGGGGTATTATTAGAAGTAGAATTGGAAGAAAATTACTGTCGATCTCAAATAGAAAGACTATTCCCGGTATACCACAAAGCTGTTGTTATAGGTCTACAACCATTTATCCGGGATAATTTTGCAATATGGGTAAGCAGTGGTAAATGTGTTCACGGAGTATGGAATAATTTCAGGAATATAATACTCCAGTGTCTCGAAATATTTGTTCAGCATAAACTACTGAGAAAGAATTCAGACCATGATTATTACAATAAGGAAGTAAAAAGGCTAAAGTCAAGGGCAGAAACATATACGTATTGTGACATGTTGCGCAATGGAAGACAATCCCTCCCTCCCCCAGCAGTGACGTGGGAGCTCCGGCCACGGTGACGTAGCCCCCCTTGTCTACGTGGCACCGCTTCCTACTGTAACGAGGCACGCAACGCGCGGTGACGTAACACGGCATGAGGCAACAGCGGTACCGATTACGTAAGAGGCAAGCGCTGCTACTATATAAGGGGACTACACAGCCGCCGCAGTGAGTTCAAGCGTATCAGCCGCCGAAGTGAGTTCTCAAGTCAGCAGCCTACGAGTTAAGTTGGAATCTAGCCAGCAGTGAGCAGTGAGGAGTGAACTGAATTGTAGTAGTCACCGATTTCAGTTGTAACGAGTGAATCGTGATAGAGTGAAGAGATTTGGTTGTAGGGTTTGTAAAGTGGGGAACCCGTAACGTTGTTATAATTAATTGAAGTGGAGACTTGTAGGTTGTTAAATAAACTAGTTAACAATCCGAACGTCGTCTTCAGTAACGAAACACGTTACAGTATAATAGACGAAAATCAGGACAGCAGTACCGAGAGGATCTGAAATGACTATAAAAGCAGTTGTTATTAGCCAAACAAAATGTACAGGAGACATTTTAAGGACTGTACTAAAAATGAAGATAACTGCTGGACTGAGTTCTACAAGTATGTGGAAAAACGCAGAGGAAAAGGGAATATATTCCTGCAATCAAAGATGTTAATGGATGGCTGGCTACTGATTCGATAGAAAAGGTCAACTCCCTCAACTTCTATTATTCTTCCGTATTCAGCTGTGAGCGTAGCACCCCACAAATACAACAGCCTATCACAGAGGAACCCTTGGCAGTTTGTACCACAATTATTAGGTAAAGGTTTGCAGCGATAGGTAAAAACAAATCAGTGGGTCCAGACAGCATTTCTGGGAAAATGTTAAAATTGATTGGGGAAGCCATGATTCCATACCTCGCGCGATTATTGGGTGTAACAACTAATAATGCCACTATCCAAAGTGACTGGAAAAAGCCATAGTTGTTACTATTTAGAAAGGGGGGCGATCGATCACAGATCACAAATTATAGATGGTCAGTTTAACCTCAGTAATCTGCAAACAAATGAAACATGTTATAGCATCGAATCTGAGAAAAATATGGGATAAAACGAATGGTTATTTAAGGGTCAGTATGGATTCAGGCCTGGATATCCATGTGATAGTCAAGTAATTACGGTTTGCCAGGACATTGCAGACTCACTCTGTAAGGGAGGTAGGATAGACCCTATTATAATACGTAGATTCTTCGAAGGCCTTCGATTTAGTTCCGTATGATTGGCTGCTTACGAAAATTGCAGCCGCGGTAGTGGACTCGACGGTAGTTGTTGTGATAAGGGAATTACTTTTGGGCCGTACACAGAGGGTTAGAGTAGGAGCGCAATTATCGGAGGAAGTCACTGTAACGTCAGGAGTACTGCAAGGAAGTGTACTGGGTCCACTACTGCTCCTCGCATACGTAAATGATATTTGGAGCAACATTGAGTCAATTATTAGACTTTTTGCAGACGACTGTATTGTAACGTGGACAGCGCAACAGGAAGTAAGGGTCACGTGAACTCTGAATTTCCACGAGTGACGTCACATACCCCCATTCTTTAAATCACTACAGAATACTCGGTAAACACCTCCCAGCTATGCTGTGACATCTCGCAACAGGCGAGTCCGTGCAGACACTATTGCTAGGCAATCGGTAAACACGGCTATTACACAACAGGGAAGCGAGGTGCTTTTTCGGCTGTCCGGCTGAGTGTTTATAAGAGAAACTGGAATGCCTAAAGAGTTCAGTTGAAGTCTAGCAGTCGCCGAGTTCCGTTGATTGGAATTCTTCGACTGAATTAATTATTCAACTGAAGACTAAAATATCAGTTTGCAGTGTTGTCATACAAAAATGGAACAAATAATGAAAATGCCGAAAGAAAAGAAGGCCAACAGAAAAACCGACAAAGAAGAAATGAAGGCCAATAGGAAGAAAGACAAAGAAATTAGAACCAACCAAGCTAAATTGTTGGCCATAATGGAGACTCACCGAGTGGAGAGGAGAGTCGGCCAAGAAAAAGTACGAGAGGAAATGAAAGCCTGGCGAGAAGAAATCCGCTCGATGCGGTTTGAGACAAAGGATACCCGAAAAAATACAATGGCCTACCAAGAGATGGAGGTATGTCTAGAAGAAGAAGAGCCGATCTCAGTGGACATGAAACCCGAGGTGGCAGAAGAAGAAGAAGTGCCCAAAGAAGACGCCGAAGTAATGCCGGTCGGAGAACCGAAGAAGAAAAGGCGTAAGGACAGAAAACTGGCGCCGCTGCCAAAGGAAGGAAAAGCCCCAGAACCAGGTGCAAGAATGGCACGACTCAAGAGAGACACCCTCATGGCGAACAAGACCTAGGAAAAGTTTCGATCGCGGAAGGTACTGGCCGCTGAGAGAATCAGGATGACCTGCCGCGCATAAGTGGCACGGCGTAGAAGATAAAGTCGTTAGGATCACGATAAGGACAAGGCTGCGGCAAGATCCCAGGATAGACAAGCTCTCCAGAAGCGACGTCGAGTGCGCCCGGGAGACAATAGAAGAATAAGGAGCCGAAACTTAAAGGAACCCATTCCTAGAAGCATGAAGACCTTACACGAGGCCCTTGGACAAGCTGTTGAGTAAGAGAGCGTGAAGGGAACCATCTGGATTTCCAGTAGATTAAGAGTGGTGAGACACTGGACACTGTTGAGGGGTCGACCCCATCCGGAACGGAAAAAAATGGAATAGCGCATAGTGGAGGAACCGGTAACACAGAAGCACCGGCCTCCCTAACTAGAACGACTGAATTAGCGACGAATGGATGTGAGACGACGGAATCAGCAACCACTGGACCATGGAACTGCTAGGGACGAGCACCTTGAACAAGACGGGCGGCGGTAGCTCCACGAAGACGAACACCAAAGGAAAAGGAACGGGGATGTACCGCTAGGCTGTTCGGGGCGAACAACCTTTAGAAGGGATCAATATAACGTGAATGGCGCAACAGGAAGTAGGAGTCACGTGAACTCTGTTTCCACGAGTGACGTCACATACCCCCACTCCTTCAATCACTACGCAACGCGTCGCGTGACTTACCCAACACGTGATAACTGGTGTCAGAAGCGTATAAGTGGGTGTCAGAAGTGTTAGGTAAATCACGCGACAAATAAAATCACGCCGTCAAGGGTGTAGCCAACATTTATTGTTCTTCGCTTCTACACTCACACACTCTACAATTATCATCACTTGCAGTATCACAACTACTACCTCTACTTCAATACGCCTTCTGCGGCTGCGACCTCTCAACTGGCCTTGGTCGTGGCTGGATCTCAACTGTACTCTTCGAAGGCTTCTTATAGGGTGGTTTCGGACTCAATAGAGAGCACCTTCTCGCAGGGTTCGTTTTCACGTGTTCTACATATATTGGTTACCGTGGAAATGCTTTATTCCGCTGTTTCAATAACTCGTTGCCACTATTCTTCCTAGGCAACGGTCTGTTGGTATTTGACTTGTAGCTGTGGGAACACAATAATTTCCATTGTATCCGCTGCTCAGCCATGGATGACATATAACACATTACAGTATATAGGAAAATTATAACTAATAAAGATACAAAAAGATGCAGGTAAATCTGAACAGACTTGGGGAATGGGGGGCTGAAAATGCGATGATAATTAATCAAAATAAATGGAAGACATTTGTTTCACGAGGGCCCGAGTGACGGAACCAATAAATTATTCGTTAGGGAGCCAGTAATTCCTGAAGCGAGCAATTGTAAATATCTGGGAATACTTCTATGCAGCGATCTAAGTTGGGCTGATCAAGTTAATTACACAAGATAATTAATTAATTTAATTTTACAGTGAGTAATCTAAAAAGGAAAATAGCAACACTAAAAGTCTAGCATACACATCTTTAGTGCGCCCGATTCTGGAATATGGGGCGGCTTGCTGGGGTCCTTACAGGGAGGGACAGATAAATGCGTTAGACCAGGTGCAAAAGAAAGCGGCTGAATTTGCACATCATAGGAACCATTTGAACTGGGGATACTTGACACAGCGCAGGCAGATATTCTCGCATATGCGCTCTCTTCAAAGCATACACGGGAGGACGGGCTTCGTAGACTACAGGGTGGGCGAGACTCAATTAGGCAGTTTTGGATCATTAATAACTATCCAATCCAACAACACACGGGATAATGGGAAAGTACCTTTTGTTGTGCATAGATGGTAGCATCATACGGTATTCTGTGAACGAGGTCAATACCCTGCCTATTTAGTGCGCATCGAGGAAACGTCATGGCTTGTGGACGGTTGTCTATCGAGCAGCATGTAATGTGTGTGCGCCTTTTCTCAGTTTCTAACAATGTATCAGAACTCCAGCGCAGGATGCTGGAAGAGTTTGGACCGCCAGCAGTCCACAGGGACACAATCGCCCGAATAAACAAGCAGTTTGATGAAACTGCCAGTGCTTTGAATCCCAAGCATCCTGGTCAGCCGAGAACTGTTCGAACTGCTGACACACAAGTACGTGTTGCTGCGGAACTGGCATCATCTCCTCAGAAATCGAAGTCTACCCGCCGTTTGTCGGCCCTACTAGACATTTCGAGGACAAGTTTTTCGGAGAGTTTTGAGTGACATGAAGCTGACGCCATACCAGCCACGGCTTATTTATGTTCTTAACGAGGACGACTTCGACAGGCGACTTGAGTTCGCCGAGTTGATGCTGACCAAGTTTCAGGAGAAACCTGACCTTATCCCGAATACTGTCTGGACTGATGAGGCCAAATTTCACACATTATGATCGGTCAATAGACACAACTGTGTGTTTCGGCGGCCAGAGAACCCCAGTGCTACCATTGAATAAGATTTCCAGTCCCCGGGAGTGATAGTGTGGGGCGGAGTGATGTACGAAGGACTGATTGGCCCGTTTTTCCTTGAAGGTTGCGTCACGGGGGAAACCTACCTAAAGTTGCTGAGGGAAAGTGTCATCCTAGAACGTCAGAGGAGAGAGAATTTTGATGAACTGTGGTGGCAGCAAGATGGGGCCCCACCACACTTCGGCACTATTGTTCGGGGGTTCTTGCATCAAGTTTTTCCTCAACGCTGGATTGGCCGTCGAGGGCCTGTGGAGTGGCCAGCCCGATCACCCGACATCACCCCAACAGACTATTTCTTTTGGGGTTACCTCAAAGACAAGGTGTACGCTAATCCCATTGACAGTGTGAAATATCTGCGTGAGGTGATTGTTCAGGAGTTCAATAAAGTTCCGGTGAATATATGTAGAAAGTCATGTGAAAATGTTGCTTTCCGTCTGCAAGCCTGTGTTGACTTAGGTGGTGCCCAGGTTGACCAGCATCTTGAAAATCGATGACTTATGTGTGTGCGATTCCATTTTTGTAAACATTGCGATTGTTAACATTTATCAATACAAATAACATCTAATCAAAAACCGCCTAATTGAGTCTGGCCCACCCTGTATATGTGATAGGTCATGCTATCTGAGCAGGGGCGGTCATGACAAGAAAATTTGGAGCAGAAAGTAACGTACAGATATCGGAAAATATTCCTTTGTAAATAGGACCATACAGATCTTTAACCAACTACCATCAGATGCTTTAGGGACTCTCTCCTGCAAACCAAATAATTTAGGAAAAGGGTTAGGAAAGTGATAAACGAGGTGGAGTGAAGTTGGGGTGGAAATAAGCACAAAATACAGTGAAGTGAAGTGAAATGAAATGAAAAGTGTTAAGGACGGGAGGATTACATAAGTGTAGTAAAGCAAAATGAAATGAAAATGAGAACGTGACATTACGGATTCATTGCTGTTAGTTTCTTATATATTATGTTTAATTTTCTGCTAATAGCTTGTGTGATTTTCTACTAATGTTTATGCTCTGTGTTTTGTTTGAACTTATTTGTGTGTTATTTGTCTCTTCTCTTATTGTAGTATCACTGCCACCGGCTCAAAACCCATTTCCAGTTAAATAATAATAGTATGAATGAATATATAAGAGGTGGGTCTTGTTGGCCCTTGTACCGCCACCACAGTGATCTATTGTACCTCCCCTACTGATTACCCCTGCAACAATCCTACGCTTCGAATGAAGCGTAGGATTTTGTACGTTGGGACGTCGAAATAGTCACTTACTTCATAAAATATTGATCTAAGTGACGCAATCTTAAATTAGCTAAGGCCTCACATTCGCACAGGATATGTGGGGCTGCTTCATTTTCTTATTGACACCTCCCAGAAGTTGGACGATTACTTAGTCCCAGTTTGAAGAGGTGTCCTTTGAGGTGAGAGTGTCCTGTAAGTAGTCCTACCACCTACCGTTGCTGGTTCCTGTTTAACTTTAACAGTTCCTTCGCTCTTTTAGTAGAGGGTCCTCGTATGAGTCCCTTTGCTTGCCTGAGTCCAGTCACGCATCCCAGTATTTCTTATGATTCGTATTTGTACAGTTCTTGATTACCTTTCTGGCGACTCCTATATAGATGCCACAGGCTGGTTCTGTTCTTATGAACGGATGTTCAGCTCCAAACCTGTTCAATTGGTCTGCTATTTCCTTTCCGTCAATACCCTCATGCCCCGGCACCCATATCAGTTGTACCCTGTTACGTTTGGCCAGTTCCATGAGAGTTTGGTGGCAAATCCCAGATCAGTTTTAAGTTGATCTGGTGTTTGTCAAGCACTTTAAGTGCAGCTTGCCTGTCAGATAGAATGTAGATGTTCCTATTTCTGTAGTTCCTAACTAGATTCTCCATAATACAGGCCTTAATTGCATATACTTCTGCCTGTAATACTCTCATCTACTGCCCGAGGCTGAAACTATATTTCCTCCTAGTGCCATAGCAGAACACACTAGCTTCAGTGCCCTTATTTATCTTGGAACCATCTGGATACCAGATCAGGCCCCCTTTTCTCTTGAGCCGAAACCCATCTTCCCATTCACTCATGTCAGGATATCTGACTGTGAAGGGTTTTACATATTGTGACATGTTGACCCCTACCTCCCCAGCGGCACGTAGCGGTAACGTAGCGCTCGCGTAACAGGCGAGTCATCACCCCGCACTCTCCCCGCGGTGACGTCACGAGCGGAGCCGAAGTGAGCCGAGCGGAGCCGACGTTAGACGAGTCCCTGCAACCTGGTCGCTATGCAACGCGAGTCAACAGCGGTGACGTCACCGAGGGGTAACAGCGTTGCTAGGATATACGCAAACACGGACGCGTCACCGCTTCCTACTGTGACGTGGCAACAGGCACCACTGCGGCTATATAAGGGCACAGCAGCTACGAGTCAGTTGTACTGTGACAGCCACCGAGTTGTAATGTGGATATCGCCGAAGACATTTCCGAGTTGTAATGTGACAATCGCCGATTGTGTGATTAACGAGTTCTCAGTTCGCAAGTTACGAGCTACAGACGCGTGTGCGAGAATCAGTGATAGTTCGGGATAACCAATTATATCTGCAGTGTGTAATTCAGGGAGACTTGTATAGCTCCCGCGTTATTAGTACGTGAAGACAAGTGAAGGTCGTGTTAAGAGATTTTGTTGTAGGGTTTGTAAAGTGTGGAAACCCGTAATATTGTGATAATTAATTGTAGCCGTTATTTGTAGATTGTTAAATAAACCAATTAACCATCTCTACGGCGTCTTCAGTAACGAAACACGTTACACTGGTGTCAGAAGTGGGATTTGGACTTACACACGTGACCATTGGGAATTGAACTTACACACGTGACCGACGAGATTCGATCTCAAGACACGTGACAATTTGGTGTCAGAATTTTTACGATCTTAATCACGCCTGACAAATAATTAGATTATTGTGCTCAAGTATCTTACTGCTACAAAATGGAACAAGGCTTTCAACTAATAATCGAAATGCTGGCGAAAGCAGAAGCCAATAGAAAAGCCCACATTGGAAAAATGGAGGCCGATAGGAAGAGAGACAAAGAAGATTTAATGGCGAAGTTAGACGCCTGGGGAGAAAAGTTGGATGCAGAGACGATAGCAACCTAAGCAAGAACGAGAGCCATCCAAGAAAGGACGGCCGCAATGCGAGAGAAGAGGTTGCAAGCCAATATGGATCCTTGGCAGAAAGAGATGACGGAGGTACGTCTAGAAGAGGAAAAGCCGGCCATAGCGGACATAAAACCTGCGACGGCACAAGAAGTAGTCCCCATAGTTATACCGGTCGTGGTGACGATGGCCTACCAAGAAACGGTGGCACGTCCAGAAGATGAAAAGCCGGTTTCAGTGCACAGGAAACCTGAGGCGGCAGAACTACTAGAGGTACCCGTACAAGACGCCGAAGTAATGCCGGTCAGAGAACCGAAGAAGAAAAGGCGCAGGGACCGAAATCGACGAAATAAGAAGAATCCGACACGGGAAAATTGCGGACCCCAGAATAAATTGGCCGTCATCAGCAGGAAAGTGTCCCGCCGTGCAAGAGTGGCATGGCGCAAGAGGAACGTCTTCAGGTAACCTGGGACCCGAGTAGGTCATGCGTCC